GGACACACAGATGTTAGTGAGGGTTTCTGTCCTTACATGCTTGCCGTAGTTTGTCCTTGTCGTAGTGCAGAGCCTCGTAGTCACTCATGCTGATCCGGCTGACTCTGATCCTCAGCCTCTCCGGGACCGGCTGCTGACTGAGACACAAACACGGCCCAGAGACTTTTAGCAAATGCTCAGTGAAACCCGCACGTGTCATATGACGCACGCTGCTCGCAGGGTTGGATTTGGCTGCTGCTGCAGCGAGTGACTGAAAAGAACGTACTCGTTGAGGTGTGGTATAGAGGTTCGTCGTTTGGTTTTCTGAACCATATTGGCCTGGTTTCTGAGGCTGATATGGATGACTGATGGAGCAAGTCTGCAAGGTTCACCGTCCACCTAAAAGCAATACAAAGGCAATAGCCTCAATCAAAAATGCAATCAGCTAAGCAGCCCCAAACTCACAGATTGATACATAAATGTACTTAGACATCAGCAGAAGACTGAGGTGTTACTTGAGAGCCAGTCAGTGGGAACGATGGGTACAAGTGTGTAAACAGGAAGCAGGTCCAGTGACAGTGCTGGATGTTACCTCAGCCCGAAGGTGTACATTCAATATTAAAAAGCACATGGCTACAGAACAAGGCTCATGTGCACCATTTACCTGCACTGGGAGAGGTTTAGTAGTGGTGAGGATCACTTCTCTGCACTGGTTCAACCTCTCACCATGACCTCCAACCTGAAGAGTAGCCTACACACACACACACACACACACACACACACACTTAGAACAACACAGTGCTTTTACACAACACTCCAACTTATGGTGGAAGTTTCAAATCACTAAGTCCAATTAAAGCTCCTATTAAAGAGCTCTGCAGCTGTACAACATAATAATAATAATTATGTAATAATTAAGACAGATCCTTCTATCAGAAAATGTAAACAGAAAAAGCTAAATGTAGACCTGTCCCATCTAAGTTCAACCAGGAGGCTGAAACATCTGCAGCCCACAACAAACATTACCAGCTGGTTAACTAGTGAGTTTAAATTGGCCATAGAGCTGAAGTCAAGCACGAATAGCAGCGTCTGATAATAAAATAACCTGACGTTGACGTATCAGGTCAG